GCGTCGAGGACGCTTGAAAGCCGACACGACATCACTCAAACCTACGCCTCAGCGCGACACATCCCCCCCCCTCCGGCTTCGTCGTCTTCTGTTCGAACAGCGATGCTGGCCATGGAGCACGCGCGTGTCGAGGAGGGGAGGGAACGCCTCTAGTCGTGTCGTGTCACTCAGACAGTTTTATAGCCCTTCCTAAGAAACGGGTGACGCTTCCGAAAATAATCAAAATGGACAACTGACACTGATCAGGTAAACGGAGGGGTCATAGGGTCAAAATTCATTACCTCAGAAAAGAACAGTGTATTTCATTATAGACGGTACGATCAGTCTTGTCTGTAAAAAGATGAGGATTTACTGCTAAAACAAAAATGAGCTCACTAAAAACCGTCCTTTCGTATTGTTGCAAATAACGGATGGGTCGGCCGGTAAGGTACGGTGGGCACTGTTCCACTTTAGCTGCTACGGTAGCCATGAACCCCGAAACGGTAGGTCAACGAGGCTCTGGCTGATTGCTCTAATGTCCTGACTGGTGGTGATAACCATTCGGTAGTAGGGAACCGGCTGTCACTGTTCAGCCGGTAGGCAAATGTGTTCTCCTCCGTGGATACGTCCCCCGCCCGGGATCCAGGGAGACAAGAGTACAGAAGGATACCGAATTAGAACAGATATGAACTGTATCTACTGTACAGTGGTTTTGGCCCGAGGAAATTCTTCTTCTGATTGGAACAGAGGACCGACCGGCTCGTGTCGACCACGCGCACATGAATATGATGAAAATGATGAATCAGGACACAACCGGGCAAGCGGTACGCTCAGAAATTTGGCTATTTCCATCTGATATCACAAGGTCTGCTATTCACTCCAGTCAAACGACATAAAAACTCCACAATGATGCTTCGGCTCGTGGTTTCACATACCTCCTTCAGGGCATGTGTTGGTACTGCTATGCATGTTGATCCAAAAGATCCACACGACCACACCTCGAATTTCAGTCATCTTAAATATGTCTTCCGCTATGAATTTTCGAATCTGAACTTCGACGTAAAACAATCTTTACCAAGCTACACCTCACGCTTATGAATTAGACTCATTTAACGCCATCCTCTGCAATTCTGCCTTGTTTCAAACGACAAAGGAAGTTAAGGTAAGGTACCATTCCATGCCATTCCTCAGAACTTTGTTTAATCCTCATGTCAAGAATGTGTCCCGGTGAGATGGTCTTAACATTTTGGTCGTGTGTCTCGAACGTAGCAGTTAGGAGCAGAGGATGCCAGGTGCGAATTGCTCGAACAGTCGCTATAACAATTATTTGTTGACGTTAAAAAAAGGTTCAAGCGCTTAAACGTCTTGATGTTTCACAGTTTCGATCGCATCGGCGAAAAGTCGCCAGGTCGTAAAATGGCTATTTACTGTATGGTGAGGTCTGCCCCCCTCCCCGGGTACGCTTTTTTAAAGACAAAAATGAAATATATGGCAGTGGATCGTGTGCTGGGGCTAAGGATCCACGTCAGCGCTCCACCAGCGTTCTCTGTTCTCCGCCTTCTACCTCCACTGATGACCAGCATCTCGGACATCGGATGGTCCCAACGAGCCATAAGACCGACCCAATTTCTCACAGCGTCACATAATGCAGAAATCACGGCTGCTAATCCAGTCGGTTGTGAAATTTGTGCTGTCGCAGCATGATCCCGAAGAGAGACTTTGCGCAGTCTTCGCTGCATCGTTCTCATCAGACTGTGCTCCTCAGATTCAGAACCAGACCAACTGAAGGGCCATAGATCGCCACAAAACCGGGTAGAACGATTTGACGCAATAGTTTTTCCTATGCTCCAACGGGAAGCTCATTGCCGAGCAGCGATACCTCAATACAGTGAAGTTGATCCCTACCGCCCTCCTTCTTCTGATGATTTACCTGCCTCATGAGTTCATAAAGCCCACCTGACGGCTGAGGTACACATACCTGGCGAAAAATCGAGTTCTTCGCCATTCGCGAACACCAGAAGTTAGACACTCAGCAGCATTTCTCTCGGGTATGCTGATCACATCCTGCTGTCACACTGACTCCC